CTGTCACCCAGACTGGAGTGTGGCGACCTGATCCCAGCTTACTACAACCTCCACCTCCAGGGTTCAAGCTATTCTCCTGCCTCAGCCTCCCAAGTAGCTGGGACTACAGGCATGCACCACCACTAATTTTTGTATTCTTAGTAGAGACGGGGAATCTTATCATGTTGGCCAGGCTGGTCTTGAACCCCTCCCAAAGTGCTGAGGTTATAGGTGTGAGCCACCACACTCGGCCACAGCCTTGTCTTTTCAATAATAGCCATTCTAACAGGTGTGAGGTAATATTTCATTGTGGTGTTAATTTGCATTTCCCTGATGATCAGCGATATTGAACATTTTTTCTTATATAAGACAGCCATCTGTATGCCTTCTTTTGAAAACTGTCTATTCATGTCTATGATATTGCAACACATATCTTTGGTCTTAGATCCATTTCCTGGCAGACAACTTCCAAAATCCTTGGCACCTCCAAAGTGGTTCTTATGTGCTAATGGTTGAGGGCTGGAAGCCCCTAGGTAGTGCAGGATGGGAGCAGGTCACCAGAAAGGCAGAACTACAGCAATGGAATTTTCAACTCCACCTCCAACCTCTGGGGATGGGAGAGGGGCTGAAGCTTAAGTTGATCATCAATCATGTCTATCTAATGAAGCTTCCATAAAAACCCAAAAGGACAGAGTTCAGAAAGCTTCCAAGTAGCTGCGTACATGGAGATTCCTGGAGCCTGGCGCACCCAGAGAGGTCATGGAAGCTTGGAGCCCTTCCCACATACTTTCCCCTATCCCTCTCTTCATCTGTATCATTTGTGATATCCCTGATTTAATTTATTTATTTTAGACAATGTTTCACTCTTGTTGTCCAGGTGAAGTGCAGAGGTGCAGTCTCAGTTCACTGCAAACTCTGCCTCCCGGGTTTAAGTGATTCTCCTGCCCCAGCCTCCTGAGTAGCTGGGATTACAGGTGTCTGTCACCATGCTTGGCTAATTTTTGTATTTTTAGTAGAGGCAAGGTTTCACCATGTTGGCCAGGCTGGTCTTGAACTCTATCTCAGGTGACTCCACCTGCCTCAGCCTCCCAAAGTGATGGGATTACAGGCGTGAGCTGCCATGCCTAGCTTGTAATATTCTTTATAATGAACTGGCAAACATAAGCGCTTCCCTGAGTTCAAATTAATCTAACCCAAGAAGGGGATCATGGGAACTCCAATTTATAACCAGTCGGGCAGAAGCATGGGTAACACAACCAGGGACTTGTGATTGGCATCTGAAGTGGGGGTGGGGCAGTCTTGTGGAACTGAGTCCTCATCCTGTGGGATCCACCACTATATCCAGGTAGACAGTGTCAGAACTGAATTAAATTGGGGGACACCCAGGCTGGGCATGATGGTTCACACCTGTAATCCCAGCACTTTAGGAGGCTGAGGTGGGTGGATCACTTGAGGTGAGGAGTTCAAGACCAGCCTTGGCAATGTGGCAAAACCCTGTCTCTACCAAAAATACAAAAATTAGCCAGGCATGGTGGCGTATGCCTGTAGCCTGCAGTCCCAGCTACTCAGGAGGCTGGGGCAAGAAAATTGCTTGAGCCAGGGAGGCTGAGGTTGCAGTGAGCTGAGATGGCACTACTATACTCCAGCCTGGGTGACAGAGCAAGACTCCATCTCAAA